GCACAATGCAGGGAATATTCAAGCAGACAACTCTGAGGTGGGAAATGCATACAGACGGCACTGTATTTAGCAGGGCAGGGGCCGAGGGGGCCTCCACGGATTTCTGGAAACCATGGATAATTTGCCATTTTCCTTGCTCTGTCACTGAAAGACCCCTCTGTTCCCCCCCTCCTGCCTCGTTTCTCCCCTCCCTTTTACCCCCCCTTCCACAACTGTCATGGGTCGTCAGTAAAGAAAATAGGGAATTGTTTCCCCTTTCCAACCCCACCCTGCTGCTCTTATGTGGAAACGCAACTGCATATCTGCCATGTAGTTAATGCCCTGAAAGGAGCAAGAGAGTCTTCATGTCCAACATCAGCCTTCATCCCTTCCTCTTGAGTAACTGCACCTTTTCTTTCCCTTTCCCTAAAAAGATTACAACTTTTTCTTTCTAAAATGCCACCCACAAAACCAATGCCACCCCTCCCCCAAGGTAGCCCTAGAGCAAAAATAAGGATTGATAGTTAGAAAGGATGGCTCTCTCTACCACTCCACTTTGTGCAAAATTCCCCATCAAGAATGTCCTTGTGGAAGTTACCATTGCTGGATGGCCTTATGAACTCAGTGTGTCCAATGCCTTGAGTGGTGAAATAAGGTGCCAGCACCATTTATGTATGATTAATTGCAGCAGAGAGTTCATGGGTATTGTCATCTTTTTTACTTACCTTGTAACACCATAAAACTCAGATCTACTTTTGGCTTTCTTGAAATTAATATTTCAATCAGAGCAGACAAAGAATGATCAATCTCAACTAAAACAATTTAGGAGGGAATGAAATGTCATGGTGTTCCCCTTCTCCTAACACATTCAGATTGTTGTCCCTGTATTTTCAGCACACTAACCTCTCATCTTAGTTCCCCTTACAGCATCTCTGAAAGATCATTTGCTCAACCTTAGGCTTACGTGTTCCTGATATCTGAAGGGGGATAGCAAGGAGGTCATTGGGCTCAGTCTTACACTCACAAAAGGACTCAAAGTCTCTGGACTCTGATTCCCATGAAGTCATCATCACACATGGTCACCAAGACACAGAGATGAGGAAGATGTTCAACACAAATCTAAATCTGGATCCACCCCTGGCTCTCCCTCTAGGCACTGTAACTTTGATGCCATTTTAAAATCCTGAAGTTGTTTGTGAAGAGCATAGGCTGCATTGTATTTTCATGTGTTGACCACATTAATTTGTCATATATAAATGTTGATAATTTAGTACTACTTTCCCCCCTATTCTGGCCATTTTTCATTAAGAAATAAAAAAAAA